GGGGGGGGGGTAGTCCCACGGCCCTCTCTCTGAACCCCTCCCCGATCCCCTGCAGAGGCAGGATGACGCTGGGAGTTGACCAGATTCCCTTAGCCTGAGAACAAAGGAGAGATCAGACGGGATGGGTCAGATTATGCTGTAGTAACAACAGCTCTAAAATGCCAGCAGCGTAAAACCGCAGGGTCATTGCTCAATCACATCACGTGTTCGCCACACTTTAGCGGGGGCTCTGCTCCACGTCGTCCTTACACGGGGCCCAGGCTGCCATCACCTGTCCTGGAGGCTGGGGAGGACAGCGCTGGGATCTCGCATGGGCAGCGGCCGCCCCGGGACTGATTTGCCCACACTGCGCCCAGCCCACCGCCTACTGGAATGCGTCAGAGGCCCCTCCCCCTGGCAAGGGTCGTTTTCGCATGTCACTCTCTGCCCGGGGAATGTGGATGGTGAGACAAGGCGGTGGGAGAGCCAGCGGATCGCGCAGGGTTGCTCCTGTGTCCGAGACGCAGGGGGGAGCCGGGAGGGCCCCCCCGGAACAGCAGTGACTGCCCCTCCTCGCACTGACCCAGCCTGGGCCGCACACAGCTACTCAGCTCCTACCCTCAGCCCCCTTCCCCAGGGGCCCCTCGGCTCCTGGGCTCCGCCGCCCCGGGTGGAGGCCCTTGTGGCAGGTGGCCCTGCTGAAACCAGAAAGCATTTTGTATTAAGTGAGCCTCTTCTCTCTCTCTAGACTGTGGGCATCTCCAGCACAGAAACCGTAGTTCATTTCTCTTACTGCTTTTTTTAATTTTTTCGGTCTCTTTATTCCTGTTCCTGGAGCTCAGCAGACTGGGTTGAAGGCCCTAAGAAGATACATCCATGTGTTTTAGGACTCAAGCGTCCTAGCTGGCTGCCCCATCCCTCCCTCAAACCTGACTGTTGAGGATGTGAGAGCCCCTCCCCAGGAAACTGAATGCTCACAGCAATGCTTCTCGCTTGGAAATTTTATTGGTCCCCAGGAAAGGGAGGCAGGCAGCCCCCACCTCCCGCCGAGGGTGCTGCAAACTCTCACTGCTTCCCGTTGCCGTTGATGGGACGGTTCACGTGCTCAGGGGAGGCCAGGAAGGCCTTGAGCTTGGGCCGGGCGCTGAGGCGCGCCACGTAGGCCGAGAGCAGGGGGAAGGAGTCCAGGCAGCCGGGGGCCAGGACCTGGTGGATCAGCAGCAAGTCCAGCAGGTTGTAGTCCGCGAAGGAGATCTGCAGGGCAGAGGGCAAGGGACTCAGCAGGCGGGAGCGTGGGAGCCAAGGAGTCTGAGCCTTTCCCTAAGTCCGCCCCATTCTGCTGAGCCACGGGTTCCTGAGTTCCCTCTGCACCTGTTTCCCCTCCGCCAGAACGGGATGGTGCAGAGGGGCAGGACAGAGCCAGACGCTCACCTGGTCGCCCACGATGAAGGCCTGGCCCCCCTGGTTCTGGGACAGCAGCGTCTCGAAAGGCTTCAGGTGCCCCGGCAGTGCCTTCACATATTCCTTCTTGCCTGCCTCCTGCCAGAAAGACACCACCGCGTGTTACCCTCCTGACCCCCACGCTGCGGCCCACCCCAGCCTCTGCCCCAGCCCTGAGACACCCCCTTCTTTTTGCCCTATTTCGTGAATCACCACCCGCCCAGGCCGGAGCCCCAGTGCCCCCCTGCTCACTTCCCATCCCCAGGGCCGCACCACATCTTGTCCAGCTCAGCCGTGGATTCTTCTTT